ACACATGTGTCCTTTATTTTTTACATCAGGAAGGGGGGCTAGGGAGGGGTAAGTGGAAGGAGGTGTGGGAGGAATGGGGCACGAGCCCCCGATGGGGAAGACTGGGGTGGCTCTGCGGGCTCCTCAGGGTGGAAGCTCTCCTGCAGGGTCTCCTGGATCCTAACAGCCCCCCGATTGACCCACCCAGATGGCAGCCTGCGGCAAGTGCAGCCGGGCTGATGGCCGAGTGCTGTGATGTGCCGAGTGCGAGCACTCAGGGCACTCCAAGACAGGACTGCTTTGCTGTCCCTCATCGAGGTAGACAAGCAAGTGGGGAACCCTGAGAACTGTCTGTCCGGGGTGGGGGTCAGGTCCTTTTAAGCACAGCCCTCGGCTAGCCTGAGGCAGCAGCTCCACGCTCAAAGTCCTAACCTGATGCCCTGCCGGCACCTGTTCCGGCCATCCTTAACTTCGGTTCAGAGTCCACTCAATGTGGACATGCTAGTTCGAATTAGCAAAACGCTAATTCGAATGAGTTTTTAGGTCTGGATGCACTAGTTTGAATTAGCTTAGTTCGAATTAACTAATTCGAATTAGTGCTGTAGTGTAGACATACCCTTGGATTTTTCCTTTCAACTGTTATTATTTTGAGAAGGCTTCCCAAAGCTGTGACTCAGTTTCCTGTCTAGCACTGAAATTGTCAAGTCCCTGTTCTGTATGACCACACTGCACTGCCAGGAGGAGTGGGGACATTGTTAGGGCTTTCTGAAGGAAGGTAGCAGTGCTTTTTAGGTGTGTATGTGTGTGTGGGAAGCAACAAAGTCAGAAATTGCAGTAAAAAAATGGGGGGTCAGCATGGAAATGCTGACATCCCCAGGAACCTAAGGGAGGAAGGCTCTCAAATGGGCAAATTCAGCTGTTAGAAACCCTTTTGCCATACAACTAGCAAGACAACACCCACCCTCCCCCCTCTCAAGGTGCAAATATCAGGTTGGGATAGGAGCTGCAGTGGGCATTTTGATAGTTGCTCCTTTTAAAGGGGGCTGGGAAGGAATTGTTCCCTCACCACCAAATTGGTTTCAGTAGAGTGTGTGGGGGGGGGAGGTTCGCCTTCCCCACAATGGGTGTCAGAGACAACCTGTTATGGTGAGGAGGAAGGATTATTAGGCTATCTATCGCAAACTCTTCTGTGAGTGTGGGAGAAGATGTTCAGTGCAAGTACTCCATAGAGAGGGCATCTAGTAACAAAATTAATGGGCTGGTAAAGGATTTAAAAACGAGGTGATGGTTAAAAGAACAGAATGGGAGATATAGGGGAAGAGACTGGGCATGTTCGGGGCTTCTATGGTTCATGTAGCAGAGAGCCAACACCTACCTCTCTCTTATAGACTACATTAACCATCCTCTATCAGGGGGAGAGCTGGATGCTAAGATCCAAGGCAAGAAAATGAAGCTTCATGGAATTGCTGGCACTGTGCACTTTCATTTGCTGGATAGTCCAATTTAAAAATAAAGCTGCGGGCTGATTAATCTCTATGAAGTGTCTCCTTTCAATACATTTGGACAATGGGCAATTATATCAGAGACTGGATAATTTTCCGTTTCGTGGTTCTTGTAAGTCTGGGCTCTGTGAGGCCTCAACGGAAGCATTTAATGCAGTTACAGAGAGGCTCAGAGTATTACTGATGCAGGATAAAACAGAAGGATTCGTGATGTTTATCATGAAAGTCTGAGTACTTTACAAGAACACAGCTAAAGGTTGAACCTTTCTAGTCTGGCACCCTTGGGACCTGACTTGTGCTGAAACAGAGAATCTGTTGAACCCTGGAAGGTCAATATTTTCTAGCAGCATTACCAACATTTCCACTGCTTTTTAGGGATGTTAAATATCAGTTAACTGAATAATCAATTAATCTCATGAATTCTTATTGGTTACTCGACTATTCTATAGTCCACGGGGCTGGGGCCAGCAGCCAGTGCACTCCAGCCCCAGTCCTGAGGAGCCTCCTTCCACTCCCCTTATTTTGAAATACCAAGGTGAGCATCCACACTACCAAGCCCGTTATATTGACATAACTGGCTTCTTATTTTGAAATAATAACTTCTGATTGTGAAGAGGAAAAAGCTTATTTTGAAACAGTTATTTCGGGAGTTATTATTTCAAAATAAGTTATTTCAAAATAACTCCCCAGTGTAGATATGCCCTAACTTGCCACAGGACTCCACATTGTTTTTTGGAATATGAGAAGTTACACTTTGTTTCATGAGTATTTCGCAAACACATTATTAAAAGGTCATTATTTTTGTTTCAGGAAAAAGTAATTTAATGACTCCGCAAAGACGTTGTCTGTATTATATATAATGGCACTTAAGTAAATCCTGAAAAAGACCAGCAATCTCAGATAACACCATTCAAAGTGCAAAGTAACTATCATCTGCCAGGCTAATATTTTTCAACACACAAACATTTCTTCCAAAACATAATTCTTATTTATTTGAACTGAACAGGGAGGAATGATTTTTAATTTTTTAAAATAAGTAATCCCAAATAGATAAAAGGCTTGATTTTCTTAGACTATTAAAAACTGACCCAAAACAAAAGAAAAAGCTGCTGTGAAGGATATATTTGGACAACTCACAAACAAACTCAGAAGCCTGCAAATGGCCAGTGCTGAAGACTACTATCAAACTGTTCATCTTCTACACGCAAACTACTAAAGTACTGTATTCATAATTTTAACTTAACTTTTATTTGCTGACCTTACACTATCACTAGCCTAAGAAATTGATTATGAACAAATCATCTTCCACACTGATCCTCCTTAATACATCTAGATAAAACTGAGATATTTTTAAAGTTGACAGTATAATACACTGATGTAGGTAAGAAAATGACAGTGCTTTCACTGAACCTGATGAAATACACATACTATATGAAGCATAAGAAAAGGAAATCTCCAATATTGCTAATATCCTTGGCTTGAAAATACAGATCAACATATAAGGAATTCAGGCCACAGCAGTGTGTAGTAATTTACTGCATATTTGCACAGTGTAAGCCAAGCTACAAGCACATAACAGAAGCAAGGACAGAAGAAAGGTTTGGTTTGTTTTTTGTCAAAGAAAATTCTCAAGAGCAGAAAAGTAGCACAAAGGAAATACCTTAAGATCTCGCCTTTCCAGGTGTAAAAGCTCAGAGCCTCGGATGTCATGGCTGATGAAGATTTCTTTGTACTCTCCCAAACTGAGCAGATCCAGCCAAGCAGCAACTTCATCTGTGCCCCATTTTTGAACTACCAAAGTTAAGAGCAAAACCCCCTTAATTTCTACATGCTCAAATGCATTACAAGCAAAGGTTAGGCCAAAGAGTGGAAAACAGAGTAGAACCGCCGTGCTAGCAAAGGGAAAGGTTAAAAGTGTAATTTCCACAAAAACTGAGTTTCTTTTTACATGCAGGTTAGAGGTTAGCAATACACATGAGAAGATGGGGTTATTTGCTTTGCAGCCGTGCTTTCAACTTTACTCTAGTTTCCTCAATAAAGCCATCAAACCTCATACACTTCAACAAATTCCCTTTCACTCATCTAAGGATCAGTGGTGCAAGGCCCCGGGTTGTTCCACTATATATTAATGACTCTTTACTGGTTACAGAGCAGTCAGAAAAAAACCCCTTCAAATATTAATTAAAATGTAACATCAACATATATACTGTACTCTTATATAAGGTGATCGCAGCATGCAGGTCCAACTTTATAAATTTCTCTAGTGCTGTTAATTAATGCAACAAATATTCTATTGACCATACCTGTTCCACAGGCCATTAAAAATCTCTATGTCAAGATTGTTCTCTAAGGTTAGTTGCCCACATTAGTCTTAATAGGCCAAGTTTATTAAAAGAAAATAGGTTTGTGTTATTGACAAGTAGTCTTTTGCATTTTGGTTTACCTTTCATTCAATGCTGATTAGCTTTAGACTGAGGTACTCTAATATGGTTTATATTTTAACGTATTAGTGAAGTGAAAAGCTAAATTCAGATTAACAACTATAGTGAGTTTGTTTTGCATTTAAGGTAGTATAGCATATTGACTACTGAAATACCAAAGTGTAGGAGCAGTTTTAGTTTCTTGTGACACCAGTTATTTTCAGGGCATAACGTTAAGGTAGTATGTTCACAGATAACAGTGAGGAGAGAGGAGAGTGGAGTTTGTTCAACTTCTTCTAACTAATTAAGAGAAATGGATTTTTTATGCACATAATTAACTGTGGTAAAAACTTACTTGGAATTTTAAGGGACAACTGTTTGAAGTATTAATTTAAAAAGTGTTAATGAAAGCCTTTGTGCATCATCTTAGACTACCGTTGAAAAACTGGAATCAATGTTTTATACTGAAACAGAGCTGGTTTATTTACGACTTCTGTTGGCATGGAGTTAGTTAAATAAAAACACCCAGACACAAGAGACTTTCCATCCCAAAAGTAGAAAACAAAGCTACTTAAATATTTGTAAAGTGTTTCTTCTATTCACCTAGTCATTTGAGGATCCTATTGATATACGCCTGCTAAGTATATGACATGAAATCCTCATCCCATTAAAGTCACCAGCAAAACTCCCTCGGACTTCACTGGGGCTAGGATTTTATCTTCTGGGTGTAGCACATTATTTTAGCTGTTATGAAAAATATGAAATCATGTTTTCTCATACAAGTTATGATCTTTCTTGCAATGCCAAAACACGTACCAGGCTGAGGGCTGCTCTTGTACTTTTGGACTTTTTCCTTTTTAAACTTTGGCACGATGCGAAATACTGTACTTCTATTGTTTCTTTTAACATAATCCAGAGGGGGATCCTGTATGGGGAAAAAAGAGGGAAACAACCATCAAACCTTAAAACTGCCTTGTTTTATGATGGGGAATTCTGATTTACTCTTGTTTAGTGAAATAAAATTATGTTCACTTAGGAGTATTAACCTGACCTCATCATCATTTGGCTGGAAAACATAATAAAGCCACGGAATCTCAGCAAGTTTTCGCAATTCAACCTCCACATTGTGTAACGCATCAGACAGCAGCTCTTCATGCGGGGGATCCAATTGCTATTTATGAATAAACCAGAAAAATAATGTTTACTGATAGCCTTATACAGAAAGTAAACAAATGGGGAATTCTTACCAAATTTAATTTCCCTGTGCATGAATTTCACCAGTCCAGAGACTGTATTTGGGTCAATTCTATTTACAGTACAAGAATGACTGAAACAGTTAAAACTTTGGTGTGTGCCTACCTATCAGCATCTGCCATCACTCATAACACTCCAGAAATATACATGGAGATTTACAGCACAAAGGAGAATCTCCCAAATTAATGCAAAATGCAGGACAATGTAGCACTTTAAAGACTAACAAGATGGTTTATTAGATGATGAGCTTTCGTGGGCCAGACCCACTTCCTCAGATCAAATAGGGGAAGAAAGTAGTCACAACCATATATACCAAAGGATACAATTTAAAAAAATGAACAAATATGAAAAGGACAAATCACATTGCAGAACAGGGGGGGGATGCGGGGGGGGGGGAAGGAAGGAAGGTAAGTGTCTGTGAATTGATGATATTAGAGGTAGGGAGAGTGGGATGTTTGTGAGTTAATGGTATTAGAGGTGATAATTGGGGAAACTGTCTTGGTAATGGGTGAGATAGTTCAAATGTTTGTTAAGTCCTTGTTGGCAAGTGTCGAATTTTAAAATTCGACACTTGCCAACAAGGACTTAACAAACATTTGAACTATCTCACCCATTACCAAGACAGTTTCCCCAATTATCACCTCTAATACCATTAACTCACAAACATCCCACTCTCCCCACCTCTAATATCATCAGTTCACAGACACTTACCTTCCTTCCTTCCCCCCCCCCCCCATCCCCCTCCTGTTCTGCAATGTGATTTGTCCTTTTCATATTTGTTCATTTTTTTTAATTGTATCCTTTGGTATATATGGTTGTGACTACTTTCTTCCCCTATTTGATCTGAGGAAGTGGGTCTGGCCCACGAAAGCTCATCATCTAATAAACCATCTTGTTAGTCTTTAAAGTGCTACATTGCCCTGCATTTTGCTTCAACTACCCCAGACTAACACGGCTACATTTCTATCACTATTCCCAAATTAATGGATGTCCAAATCCAGAGAAATCAAATTTCCAGTAAGAAATTGTGGCCTTGTGCCCCCATCAATCCAGAAGCAGAACTGGTAATCAGCAAAGTGCCAAATGTAGAAATATTAATATTTTGCATATTTCCCATTTTGCACATTTCCCATTTCGGCTATAAGCTCATGTCACAAAACAAGAGCGAGCCAGAAATTTAATAAAGGCCAATGGCACGAAGAAAACTTAGAGAAAAAACAGAGTAAGAGAAAACAAGTGTTGATTATAGTATTAGGAAGTTCAAGGTTGGCATTCTTCAAACATTTTCATGTGATGTACAGCTTTTCTCTGGTTAGGAAGCAAAATAGAACGAGTGGAGTAATTAGGATTCTTCCATGAAGGCCTTTCCAAGATTTCAGCATCCCTTTAACAGACGACTAAGCGAAGAACTAGGAGCTAATAAATCCCAAATTCTAATCCTAGCTCTCTGCTCCCTCCCATCCTGCCCCCACATTCTCCTTCACTCCCACAAAGCTGTGCCCCCAGCACACTCTCCGGAAGGGCAGCAGTGCTGGCACTTGCAGCCCCTCAGGAGCAGTGCTGGGGTGAGGAGAGGTGGGGGGGAGAGAGGCGGAGTCTCTTCCCTGTCTGGCCCAGCCCTTTGCCTGCAGCTCCAGGGCTGGGACAGGCAGAGCCCAGGGCTGCTTAGGGTTGGATCCTGCTTGGCCAGGTGCAGTGGGGCGCTGGGGAAGGGACTCGCTGCCCCTTCCCCGCCTCCAGCCTTTGGGGAGCAGCATGGCCAGCATGCTGGCCACCCAGCCCCAGTTCTGCGGAGCAGTCTCTGCCCCACCCTCTCCTGAAGCAGGAAGCAGAGCCAGGGACATGCATGCCTCTCCTCTCTGCCATCCCAGCAGAATGCCAGAGCTTGTGCTCCCGCCACAAACAGTTGTGTGGATTTCCTGAATGGTTTCATGCAATCAGTGTAGAAAGCTAATGCCCTTCTCATGTCTAGTGTGTGCAGCACCCTTTGTCTAGTGCTATAGTGTGGTTTCAGATTAAAAAAGACTGGTAGGAAGATATCTTTACCCAGGTGGGGTGGAGACACCACCTTGGGCAAAAAGGTGGGATGTGGCCTGAGCTGCACCTTGTCCGTATGGAAAAATGTATACGGGCATTCTGAGGAAAGAGCTCTCAGCTCAGACACTCTCCTCACCGAGGTGATGGCCACCAGGAAGACCACCTTCATAGAAAGATGAAGCAATGAACACTCAGCCATTGGTTTAATGGGGTTGTCCCATGAGTTTATTGAACACCAAGTTAATGTCCCAAGTAGGTATAGGTAAGGAATAATATAGATACAACCTGTCTAACCCCTTCCTAAAGTGGGTTACCATTGGATGACCAAACAGGAACCTTTAGGAGAACCCTTGGTAAAAAGCGGACACAGCCGCTAGGTGAACCTGTATAGAAGAGGGTGCTAGGCTCTGCTTTCCTAAATGTAACAGGTAATTTAATACCACTGGGATGAGAGGTGCTCTCCTGGGGGAGAGATTCCATTCTGCACACCAGGTAAAAAACCTCTTCCACTTGGCTATGTATGCTGCCCTAATGGAGGGCTTCCTGTTTCCCAGTAGAACCTCCTGCACCAGGGAAAAGCACTGAAGCCCTAATGGATTGAACCATCTAGCTTCCTTGGCATGATATGGAGAGAGCATAAGTCTGGGTGTCTGAGATGCTCCTGATGTTGAGTTAGTCGGTCTGGGTACAGGGGAAGGGCTATCAGCACCTCCACTGACAGGTTGAGTAGAACAGAAGAATCCTATGTACTGTTACAGGCTGGAGACTGAGTGGCTGGCAATTCTGAAAAAAAGTACCTGGAGATTACAGTGGATAAGAAGCTAGATATGAATCAACAATGTGCCCTTGTTGCCAAGAAGGCTAACTGTGTATTGGGCTGCATTAATAAGAGCACTGCCTGAAGATTGAGAAAAGTGATTATTCCCCTTTATTTGTCACTTCTGAGGCCACATCTAGAGAACTGCATACAATTTTGGACTTTCCTCTAAAGAAAGAATGTGGACAAATGGGTATAGCACAGGGCAATGAAATTGATTAAGGCTTATGAGGAGAGGCTCAGGGAACTGGGTTTATCTAGTCTGCAGAAGAATGAGAGTGGATTTGATATCAGCCTTCAACCATCTGAGAGGAATTTCAAATAAGGTGGAGCCAGGGTATTCTCAGTGGTCGCAGAGGACAGAACAAAAAGCAATGGTCTCAAATTGTAATGGGGGAATACTAGGTTGGAGATTATGCAAAAGTATTTGTCATGCCCCCCCTGCTTTTTGAAAATTGGTTTATGAATATGCATAATTCAAAGATGCTTTATGCAAAACAGATGATATTACATGTCATTTAAAAAGTTGTAATCTGCTGAATCTGTATATCCCATTTATGTACAGGCCATCCTCACTATAAGTCCAAAATATGTTCCAAAAAACTTGAACTTATAGTAAAACAACTTAAAGCAGGGAATGTTTTTCCCATGGCTGACTTCCATTTGCACACATTATTTTTTTTGGCACAACTAAAGAGCAGGAAATGGGAGGACTTATAACGTATGAGTTCCGACAGGCATCAACAACTTTAGTGTGGAATGGATTATACTGGGATTACTTATAGTGGGGATGCCCTGTTCATGTATCTTTATTATATGTGAAGTTAGAAATATTAAGCAGGAACCTGTTTATTAGTCCAGGTATTCTAATAAAAGCCACTAGTGATACTTTAGGAACATAATGGCTAGATGATCGAGTCATGGACCTGTGAATTTTTTTTTTTCTGTAAGCCCAAACTGTGGTTGGTCTTATGAAGGAAGTGGGTTTTGCCCACGAAAGCTCATGATACTATAGATATATTTTTACTAATCTCTAAGGTGTCACAGGACTACTCGTTATTTTTAAAGTTACAGACTAACATGGCTACCCCTCTGAGACAGTTCTACATAGTGTATCATGCGGAACCCCATTTCTTTCCTCCTCCCTCACCATATTAAATGTATCAATTTCTAACTGTAAATCCAGAGCACAATATGTTATTACTGAAGCAATTAAGTACTTACAGATCCACACAGAAGCAACCAAGGGAAGAGATGCACTAACTTTCAATACCAACAAAGTTTTACCAGACACTCATTGATTAACAATGGCTTAAGAAGAAAAACTAATTTCTATTATGGTGCAAGTAGAAGAGCAATTCATATTCCATTGCAATTCCAGTGACAAGTGAAGTATATAACATCTGATTAAGCCTTGTATAAGCTGTATAGAGACTGTATTTCATTGCATTATAATGCTATGGTGCACCTTTAAAGCATGATATACACCGGGACAAGTTACATAAGATGTTTATGAGTAAATAAATCAAACATTTATTTTTATCTTCTTACCAAAGGAATCCTTCCGACTAGTAGAGATTCAGTTTCATTATGTAGTGCCTTCACATTGACAGCTATTTCAATGGCAGTGTTTCTGGTAAGACTCTGGGAACAATAGCAGAACAGTCAAGTGAAGGACAATTATTTAAAATGTGAGCTTTTTCTAAAGCAACTTGGTTGATTCAGTTCTGCTTAAGAAGTTTATTCTATCAAACCAAAGGGAAGAAATCAATGTACACAAGCCAAAATCTGATCTCAGATGCATCTCTGCAACTGCCACCAAAGCTTGTGGGAATCGGTTGGTTCAACAGAGCCCACTCCTGCTCCTGAAATCATGTTAATGCACAAATCCTACAAAAGCTCAAACTGTGGGGGTTGGACTGAAATAAGGAGCTCAGTTCTGCTCCTCCTGAAATTATTGCAGGAGCACTATGTCCTCCATAGCCACCACTAAAGTGTGTGTGCATCTGTGTGAGTTTGTCTGCATGCCTGGCATAGCTAGGTATAATTCTGTGTCCATCTCCCAGCACTCTGCATCATGCCCTTGATGCTATGACCTACTGTCCCCTGGTATCTTTCTTTGCCCCAGCCCATCTATTTTCAATATGTTTCATGTCCCACTCCCTCTTAGGTCCAGTTTCCAGAAAAGGCAACATTTCTCGACCCTCCCTCTTCCCATCAGTGGGGAGGGTGAGACGAGAACTGTAGGGTATCTTCTGCTTCCTCCAATGTGCTCCAGGTCTGTGGGGAGGGGAGTCTTTCTCCCGCTTCCTCTTCCCTCTGGTTGCCCTTGCTGATACTCACTTTGACTTTCAGACCCACTGAAATAGAGTCTCAACAGAGCCCATCAGCTATCAAATAAGCATAAGAAGTGCAGACACTGCTGCTGCAAGGGCAGGAGAAAAGGCATTGCTGTTTTCTTCCTCATCCCATTTGGTGGTTGTGTCTATGTCATACTCTTCAAGTTAAGCATGTTCACCAGACAGAAGTCTGGGATATCAATAATCTTGCTAGTTAACATGCTAGCCATTAGAAAATGGTGATTGAGACTATGGAACTACTCCAGTGTCTCCAGAGACACTTCTCACATATGGGCTACAGTTGATTTACTATGAAAGAAGGTTCTGTTGTTCCTTTACCTCAGGAAACCTTGGATTGGCTTTATTTAATGCATGTGAACATGCATTGACAGCATGAGCCAGCTCCTGTTCCAACAGGCTGTGTATTTTTGCTGCTTCACAGATTCTACAAAGATAAGAAAAACAGGAAAGATAGTTTGTCAGTTTCTTTGACCAATAGTTAAAATGTGATTTAAATTAAAAAACTTTGGTAGATGGAAAATAAATATTTCAGAGAATATTTACACTAACTGCTCTAGAGTCCTATGTCTCTAAGAGCATGTGTACACTGGGGAGTTATTTCAAAATAACAAGGCAAGTGTCCACACTACCAAGCCTGTTATTTCAAAATACTAACTCCTGCTTGTGAAGAGGAATAAGCTTATTTCAAAATAGTTTATTTTGGGAGTTATTATTTCAAAATAATTTATTTTGAAATAACCTGGTAGTGTAGACATAGTCTTAGTATCCAAAGCTTACGTACAAGTATCACCTTAGACAACAAGCACTTTGCTCTCTTGTCTAACTGACAAGACCTTAATACAGATGGTCTTCTCTGATATGAAAGATGAAAGCATGTTTATTACCTTAATTGTCCCATCAGTTCCACAAGAAGTAACGGTAGTTCAAATTAGAGATCCTAATTCGAACCACCTACTCCGTGCTGCGTGTAGCCGTGGGCACGGAGTGCGGACTAAGGGACATTTAAAAATGGCGGTGCCTGGGAAGATGCAAATGAAGCCCGGGATATTTAAATCCCGGGCTTCATTTGCAACTTTGAATGCTTACATTAGCCTCCCAAGTTCGAACTAGGGGGCTAGTGTAGACATACCCTTACTGATCAAACCATTAATATTCATTCAGATAATTCATACAGAAAACACATTCTTAAGAGAAGTCTTATGTTGGTGTCATGTGAAAATCAGTATATCCTGTTCATGAAACTTAATAATCAGAGGACAATCCTCTTCAAATGCAAATGCATAAAACTGAATGTGACCACTTGTGATCATTAAAATTCCAATAGCACTTACAATCTAAATACACTTTTTATAACCATAAAGATATTACTTTATGTATCCTGGCTAAGTTTCAGTTAGGATAATTATATTTTATTATGCCTAGATAAAGTCTCCCTTTCTGCCTACCTATATTCAGTTTAAACTAGGGATGTAATAGTGTAGTCGATTAACTGATCAACAGATAAGCAAAAAGCTTATAGGTTAATGCTACAGACTACATGCATTTTCCTCCCCTCTCCTTGACAGTAAATTTTTTAGCAGGCTGTCCAGCAGCCTGGCTCAGTACAAGCTCATGCTGGGTCCAGGAACTACCCATGTTGTGGCTCAATATTTAAAGTGTACTAAGAGCCGGGTGGGCAGGCAGCCTGGCTCAGTTCTGGCTCGCACCAGGTGTCGGAGCTTAGACCCCTTCATAGATAGAAGCTGCTGCCCCCCCACACTACTACTTCTTTATCAGAGACAAGAGCCAGCCGCCTGCAAGGGGAGCTGGTTTTTAAATTGGCTCCCCTCGCGGCTGGAACCCCACAGTGCTGCCTCTGATACAGAGGCAGCAGCACGGAGCAGCAGGAGACTCCTGGGAGGTGAGGCTGAAGTGCAATGGCTACCAGCCCTGCCCCTGGTAACTCTAGAATAGTGGACTAACTAATAAGAATTCATGAGGTTACTCAACTATTCAATTAATTGATATTTAACATCCCTAGTTTAAACTGAATATACTACAATTCTGGTTCTAAACTTATGTAGTTAAACAGCTGTTCTAGCAGTGACTGGTGCATGACGCGATTTCTGTCTGCAAGCACCATAACACAGTCCACTGTTAAATGGGTATTTTCACTTGTTCATAAATGTCTCTCAAATATTTTTAAGCTGAAATGATCTATGTTAGTCTCTTCCCAAAGGTAAGTGCTTTAGAAAACACCTACAGAACAACATCTGGTTCTGCAATTTTTCAGCTTGAGACTGATAAGTTGACTGGAGGAAAGGAAAAATATTCCACAGTTATATGTTGCAATTGAAATTTTGCACTTGCACAACTCAGATGGCTCTACTTAGAAATGTCTAATGTGGTGCTATCTTAGACATTGCTAAGCTAGGAAAAGCAATCCACGTTTGAAGACAATCCTTGTTTTAAAATTATGAAGGTCTGAAAACTGTGTGTGTGTGTGTGTGTGTGTGTGTGTGTGTGTGTGTGTGTGTGTATGTGTGATAAAACATTTTTTGTTTAAAGTAGAAGAGCACCTCAAAGTTGATTTGTGTTAGTATTTAGAGGGTGGTCTGAAATATTTTAACATAAGTGTCCTTAAACTGCTGGAGGCTGCATGACTTAGGACCAAAGCTCTGACTGAAGGTAGCATGGTACAGCAAACAGAGTCAGGAGGACAAAAATTCTATTTCTAGCTCTATCACTTGACTCAGTGTGTGCCCTTGTGCAAGCCACTTATTTTTCTGCACCTGTTTCCCATCTGTAAAATGGAGAGGATGCTGTTCACGTTTGTAAAGGATTTGGTGATCTACAGATGAACAGTACTCTTCCACTATGACATATTTTCATTAAGTTATTTAGTGGTCCCTACCAACAGCAACAGAAGGGCAGCTTTAAGATCAAGAGGATGGCAGACTTCAGACTGTTTCTCCAAGCAGCAGCCTAGCCCTCAGCAAATGCAAAGAAAAGTAAGGCCACCATCATCGCACTGCATGCAAGGGAAGGAACAATGGGGTGAAGCTTCAAGGACATTCCCGGCAGCTATACCCAGTGAACATTATGAGGAACAGAGGGGAGTATGAAGAAGGCAGTAGAACACGAGGGGCCTATCTGCAAGAAGTTATGTGCTGAACTCAGAGATATTCTCTTCACTTTCCCAGACAAGAGTTCATCCAATAACACAGAAAGCCAGTGAAAACACAGGAGGGGAACAAGAAGGCTGGAACAATGAAAGCAGTCAGTAAAACACAGCTGGAATCAAGACTAGACAGTACCTCAAAAGATAGGCAGAATGAAAGCAATGAACAGAAACTTGCCACTAGATATTGAGACCCCCCCCCCCCAAGCACATCTATCATCTCAGACATAAAGTATTCCTCTTTCAGCATCATCACTTATGGCAACTTTGTAGCAAGATCGGGGCTATGTCTGGACTGAAAACTTCTTTCGGAAGAAGCATTTCCGGAAGAGATCTTCCAGAAAAATGTCTTTCGAAAGAGAGCAGCCAACACACAGCAAAAGCACAACAAAAAAGCGATCTGCTTTTTCAAAAGATAATGTCCACATTGATTGGACACTATCTCACATTTAAGTTGTGATTACTGTGGACAGAGTGGCCACCGGGGCACCTGTGTTTTTTCCTGGAAGCCTTTTCTTTCGAAAAAACTCCCTCTTCCACAACCACACACGCCTTTTTCCAAAAGAGCTTTTTTGGAAAAAGGCTTCTTCCTTGTAGAATGAGGTTTACTGCCATCGGAAAAATCCCTACGTTCTTTCGACTTTCTGTTGAAAGAATGCAATAGCAATGTGGACGTAAGTATTGTTTTTCTAGAAAAACAGCCGTTTTTCTGGAAAAACTCTGCAGTGTAGACATACCCTAAGGGTATTTATATTATCCAGTTTCTGTTGAAAGATACCATTTGAAACAGAAAATGGAATAAAATGCAACATGAGATTGCTGATGGTAGATCATGTTAGACTAAACCAATATGTTTATCTGATAACTGATTTTTAAAACATGAGATCTAATCTGCCTTGACTTCAATAAAGCATTTGACACAATGCTATTATTAACTAAAATAAGGATTAATATTGGAATTGTAAACTGGATAAGGAACTGACTAAAGTGGAGGCAACAAAAATTTGCTCTGAAAGGAGAGTTATCAGACTGGAGAGAGGTTACTAGTGGAGTCTCTCTTAGCACCATTCTTACTTAATTTTTTTCAGTGATGCGGGCACAAAAAGGAGTAGTGTGCTAATGAAATTTGTTTATTACTATGAGAGGCATTGTCAATGCAGAGGAGAATCAGACTATACATAAGATTTTACCAAATTCATGACCATGAAAAACATATCACGGAATGTGAAATCTGGTCTCCCCACAATTAAGTCTGGTCTTTTGTGTTCTTTTACCCTGTAGTATACAGATTTCATAAGGGGTAGACAAGGGTTTTCCAAATTGGGGTCCTGACCCAAAAGGGAGTTGCTGGAGAGATGTGAGGCTATTTTAGGGGATCACAGCATTGCCACCCTTACTTCTGTGCTGACATCAGAGCTGGGCAGCATACCATATCCTGCTGCCATTACTTAAGCGCTGCTGCTGGCTCAGCCTTCAAAGCTGGGCTCTCGACCAGCAGCCACCACTTTCTAGCTGCTCAGCTCTGAAGGCCGAGGTGCTGCCAGTAGTATTGTAGAAATAAGGGTAGCCATAATAACTGTGTGAGACCACACCCACACAGCTCCTTTTTAGGCCAAGACCCCTAAAACTACAACACTGTGACATTTTAGATCTAAATTGCTGAAATCATGAAAATTGACATTTAAAAAATCCTCTGACTGTGAAATTGACCAAAATGGATTGTGAATGTAGTAGGGCCTTAAATACAGAAAAAACTGGATGATGTAGGGGACTGGAGTAATAGAAATGGGATACAATTAAAGAGTACAAAGTGACAGGTAATACACCTATGGACTAACAACAAGAATTTCTGCTATAAGCTAGTGGCTCAGAAATGGGAAATGAAAGAGGAGAAAGACCTAGGTATATCTGTCAATCAGATGTGACTAGGAACCAACAATGAAGTAGTCATAAAGAAGGCAAATGTAATCCTAGGATATATCTGATGAGGAATTTCTAGGAATGATAGGGAAGTATTCATGCTATTGTATGAGGCACTTCTAAAACTTTATTTGGAATATGGTGAAAAATTCTAGTCATCCATGTTCAAGAAAGATGAATCCAAACTGGAACAGGTGCAACACTGAGCTACTTGGTAGATCAAGGTTACTGAGAGCCTAATTAGGAGAACAAACTAAAAGAGCTTAGTTTGTTTAGTCTAGCAAAATGAAGGCTATAGGAGGAACCTCATTCTTTTTAAATACAATAGGATAAGCAGCAGGGAGAAGAAGAGCTATTTAAACTAAAAGACACTCCTGGCACAACAACAAATGGGCCATGAATAAATTTGTTTGGAAATTAGAAGGTTTCTAATCATCAAAGAAGATTGCTTCTGTAACAGTCTCCCAATAATAGCAGTGGAGCAAATAATCTAACTAGCTTTAAGATGCAGTTTGCTAAATTTATGAATGAGATTGTATGACAGCTTACCTTTGATAGAATGAGCTGAACTCAACTACTCATGAGAACCCTTCCAATCTGTGTCCTGTGTTCTTCTGAAACATGCAGTGAAGTGACTTAAAAATGAGTGACTTTATTTTCTGTACATTCAAAACAAACATTTTCATACATGAAAATATTTGCTTCTTTGAAAACATATGGCTTTCAAAATAAGGACTACATAGTGGGCCTTTTCTTTATTTTTCAGGGGTCTCTCACATAAAAATAAAAGAGCTATGTAAATTTCTTGGGAAAAAAATGAGTGGTGACTTTGGAGACTAAAATATCTTATAATAAGCACTTCTGGAAGCTTTTAAAAATGTTTGTGACTCAATACAAATGTGCTTTTCTTTGAATTTTCCCTTTCTTAAAAGAAAACCTTGCATTTTAGGGGGAAAATGGTTTCTAGAACTGAATGGGAGAGCAGAAGCAGTTTGATGTAGGCTTACCGCTATCAGCCAAAAATAGTCTTTGGAAGCATTGCTCAAGATTTAGAAAACATTGAAACCAACAGAATTTAAGCTCCAAACTGACATTACCACAGTTCTAAATATAGTGGGGTCCTTGTGTGCCTTGGTAAGGTGTCCTTGTTAAAGTGAGCCTTGGCTGCATGTTAATGCAGAATGATTCAATGGATGGAATTACTCTGATATTTAGAGGAAATGATTTTCAGCATGACACTGAGGGCTTGTCTTCTGGGGACACAGAAGATTAATCTAAGTTAATTTTTAATGTGGATTAGTTAAACCACATTAAACTTACATAGATGCTTTTACTCAGAATTAAAGTGTCCTTAATTCAGGTTAGTTTGATTTACTTCCAAAGTGAATAAAAACTGAACTGAATTAAAGACACTTTAATTTTGCATAAGAACATCCACACAATATTTTGATACAGTTTAACTAATCTACTTTATTCATATTGTCAGTTAATTTGGATTAATTTTCCTCAGTGTTCCTATGTAGATGAGCCCTGAGCAAGCAGGAGAGTTGGATGGGATTAGTTTGCATTTGACTATGAATGGGAGGATGGGAAAATGTATGAGCCAAAATCTAAACTGAATGTGGATTTCTTCAGTACATCACTGGATACAAAACTGGTTTCTTAAAGTTGAGAGTTTTCAAATTAATAGCCAAAATAAACCTTGCAATTTATAAATGCTTTAGAATATGGGGCTGATTTGAAACTGAGGAAGGAGCAGCAAAGCTGAACTGACATAAACCACTGAAATTCATTATTGTTCCTATGAAGAAAAACCTTGAGCAGATTCAGTGCCTCATGAACCCCTGAAGAACAACACTTCAACTGATCAACAGTCAAGAGACCCTCAGGACTTGCAGCAGAATGTGAATTCTCATAACATTCTCATTTGCTGATCATAAGTATTGAGCCAAATATAACAACAGATTATGTACAGAAGAACTTTGGGGAAATAGAATGCCAGAACACTGCACGCACATCCAGAGACTAACTGGTTTGAAATGGATTTTGTTACAATAAGGCAGGAGATGCAATCTTGCCTTGCAATCTATGATAACAATGAATATGTACACAAAAAGGTAAGAAGGATCTATCTAACAATTCGGTTTGCTTAGACTTTGTTCTTGCAAATATTTATTTGTCCAGTAGTTTAAGTGTTCAGACTGTTTTTATGTTCAAAAATAGAAATGGTTTATGAAACCAGAAACTGTGCTGCTAATAACTGGGCAATTAGGGGGATACAATTTGTGTGTTGGGATACAGAATCAGAGTCTTTACAGAAAAAAAGGTGTGGCGGCTAGGAGAATGAAAGGATGGGAAAATATTTCATAAGCCTCAGAAAAAAATGCCAAGGTTTTTGAATACCAATTTCCAGTCCTGTGGAAAGAGGATATCAGAGATTAAAATCCTTTTCAATTTAGGTATAGTGGTTCACAGACTCAAAGATAATACCAAGAGAGTGTTACTCTCCAGGACAGAATGCTTCCCTTTCTGAGCCTGGGACAGGTGTAAGTTTGGGAAGAGGAAGAAGGGGGCATTTCTACATCTAAGGGTGTGTCTAGACTACATGCCTCCTTCGACGGAGGCATGTAGATTAGCCAGATCGGAAGAGGGAAATGAAGCCGCGATTAAAATAATCGCGGCTTCATTTAAATTTAAATGGCTGCCCCGATCTGCCGATCAGCTGTTTGTCGGCAGATCG